ATCTATCTATCTATCTATCTATCTATCTATCTATCTATCTATCTATCTATCTATCTATCTATCTATCTATCTATCTATCTATCTATCTATCTTACACACCCGATGACATAAAGGATTTTGCTTCGCAAATCCTTAAAGATAGTCCACATTTTTGTAGTCTGGCTGATCTGCAAATGACAACTTGCAGCAAGTCTGATTTTCTCAACTTGCATCAGCATTGATGCGTTCATCAGACTTGCTGCAAGTTGTTTCATCCGACTTGCTCTTGCTGCAAGTTGTTCCATCAGACTTGCTGCAAGTTGACATTTGCAGACTTGTTTCATCAACTTGCATCAAGTCTGCAAATGTCAACTTGCAGCAAGCCTGATTTCAACAGGCTTACTGCAAGTTGATGACGTCAACAAGCCTGCAGCAACTTGTTGACAACTTACAGCAGGCCGGTAAAATCCGCAACTTGCAGCAAGTCTGTGGCGTTTCTGGCTGTGTAATTTGTATTCTTTTGTAGTCGTATTTTAAGCTATTCAAAACTCCCAAACTCGCGTTTTATCATATCTAAAACGCTCTGCTGCGCCCCGCGTTTTAAATATGATAAAACACTCCTTCTCGTGTTTTAAATACTACTTAAAGCTCCACAAACGTTTAAAAGTATATGTGTCAATTGTCACTCGTGTCTTCCGTTGTCCAGTCTCGTGGATAAAATGTGTTGTGAATAATGTAATGTATTTTTATATAACATATTTTTAGGGACTCTGTAAAGGGAGCGATAAGCTTTGTAGGGATATCCTGTCATTTATGGTTTGCAAAAAAAAAACAAAAGACAATTTGAGATAAAAAAACTGTTTAAATGTCTTATATGTAGATTTTTGTAAGATTTCTGATGTTGCAAGTATTTCTGTTGCAATTGAATACAAAATTTCACATTTAATTTCTTGCTGTAACACAATTTAATCTTTATTAAGTATTACAACAAGAAATTAAATGTGAAATTTTGTATTCAATTGCAACAGAAATACTTGCAACATCAGAAATCTTACAAAAATCTACATATAAGACATTTAATGATCACCCATAATAATCACTGTAACCCATTTTCTCGGTGTTTGGCAAGTTTTTTGCTTGGGACCTTTTTGTGGTAATTGAGCATCTATGATACTATGCATTGAAACACAGAAAATCAGAGCCGTCGCGAGCGGGGGGGGGGGGGGGTTGTGCTTCACCACACCTCCCCCCCCCAATAATTTTCGCAAGTCGGTCCAGTCGGCAAATCGCTTCGTTACGGTTCGGCAAATCGCGAAATCGGCATTCAGCAAATTTTAAAAGTTGAGAACGAAGGCGTTAGATAAAGAGATACATTTTGGATTTAAAATAATGGTTTGTGTGGCCGCCTTATGACAAAACCATCTAAATGTATTTCTAGTAATATAACAGTATTAGTCTTTTATTTGTCGAAAATCGACGGGAGGCTGAAATGTGAAACCCATGTTTTCCGACTAACACATCAACAGTTCCTAATCCTCGGGCATGTTCTCTCTTTATCAATTATGTGCGGTTCAAAACCCCAATAAAACAGAATAAAACTCCAGTGTCTTGACTGTAATTCGATTTTTGAGGACGATTACCGTAAGAGGCACAATCAAACTTGCCATAAGAGAAAGCGAGTGCGACTGTGCGAGTAGCACACAAAAACGTACTGGCTAATTCGTTTGAGGCTGTAAAGCGCAGTCAAAGCCAAAGATAGTATTTTGAGTCGTCAGAGGCGCAATATCCTCAAGAAGACTCCACAGGAACAAGAGAAGAAGACCAAGAGAAAGACGAACCATGCCGTAATAACGGACTTGTCTTCTTTAGTTCTTTAGCGAAATTACTGCTAACTCTGATCAGCCTACAGTTTTGAAAGACATACCGCATAGAGGGCCCCCTATACGTTTTGCGTGAAGCGTGAAGGGCTTATATATTTTACTTAGCTGTGAAACGTGATCGATGATTTTCTTAATCCGTGATTCGTGAAAAAGCAAAATATTTTTACGTGAAAGCATATTGTGAAGAGGTATATAGGGGGCCCTCCGCATACAGCGATCGGTATCATCGGTTGTATATCCGTTTTACTCGCTTTCTGACGCATAAAATTTAAACGCTTGGAAAATCGGGTCGTACAAAAGTCCACTATATACACCACTGACAGTGTTTTAAGACTGCTCGAAATACAAAAAAATTATAAATTGTCTATTCGGCGCCTGGCGATAGAAAAGGTCAAATTCATCAAATTGCTATGAAAATATTGAAACAAAATATCAATGCAATCACATGCAGATACTTGGATAACTTTGCTGACTTTGCGGAGATGCGCGTCTGCACCACAGGCTAACACACTCGTTACTCAGACTATGTGCACGCGGTAACGTTTCCGAGAGTTTTTGGTTCTAATGTGTTTCTGAAACTGAAAGTACCATTTTCACGTTCTGTTTACACGAAGACATACAAAAAACGTCAGTAAGCAAAGACGTTTCAAATAGTGGAAACGATGCCAAAGATTCGTTTTCTATGCCTGAAACGTTTGGTCGTTTTGGCACTTTGTTATCGTGTGAACAGGAAAGTGGAAGGCGAAAATGAAATGCCGTGTTTGAATTTGGAAACGAAGACTAAAAACTAGTGCTTTGGCAAAAAATGTTGCGAGAAAAATGATCAATGTGAACAAGGCGCCTATAAAACGCTAAATTTGAAAACCTCACTGGAAAAACGCTAAAGTTTATGTAAATGAACACGATTTTTTATCACATATAAAACCATCGACACGGCAGTGATTTTTCCGGCCTTTATCTTTTCCTCATGAAGTGCAGTCACGTTATTTTATACACTAAAATAATTATGGCCTTCACAGGGCCTAAAACTTTACCTCAAAATAACTCACAAGTCAAAGCAAGCAAAACAATATATAAACGATATCCTTCCAATAGGACTCAAATTCTATATGTCGCACGTAGCATATCAAGCGCGCACGACCACAATGCAATGCGCTAAAAATTTTACTTCAAAAGTCCATCTCTGCACAAATTACAATGCTACGCATCAACAAGGACAAGTTAAAGGTTTGACAGTTTGACTTTTTAACAAACAACTATAAAAATACGTTGTAGACTCATAAACATCCGTCGTGTACTTGTGTTCATTTGCATAATTATAGATTTGCTCCATAGCCGGTCTCCCGAAAAGGTCTTTAATTTTTTAAAAAATCCATACAATTTGCTTGCGGTTTGCGATTTGTATTCTTGTCTATTGCACCATAGCACAATGTAAAAACAGATTGCTTGAAATGATCAATTTAAATTGGTTGTCTCAGACGCATCTCTTTTTGACCAATTTTATTTGGTCAAAACGACCATAATACTGGTTGTTTTAACCAATTTTTTTGGTTGTTTTACGCAATAAAAATTGGTTAAATTAATGCGTCTGAGACAACCAATTTAAATTGGTCATTTCAACCAATCTGTTTTTACAGTACACGTATGCCGTCATTTTCAGGTCAGTGTGAACGCCTGAGCAGGCGTCTTGTCTTTTTAATTAAAAAGTCATTTGAGAGGGTTTAAAAGGACTGTGTTTATATTCTGTCTTCAAATGATCCTAGAGAAGCTGGTAGTTCTTCCAACAACCAGGGTGCGAATTAAGAGTTTTTCTGGTTTCCAAAATTGTATAGGCCATGATAGTTTTGACATGCACAAATATTTTTGAGATTCTTCGTTTGTATGAAATGCTGTTGATAATTAATAAAACTGACTGGAAAGTTGACAACCGTGTATGTTTAAGAATGTTAAACGGCAATATATTCTTTCCAATAGTCTCAAGTCAGAATATGACGATAAAGTTCATTATTGCGTCACAATTCACGCGCATTAGCCAATCAAACTATCTGTTATATCCCACTTATACAAGGTGTATAAAAAGTAGATAATTTTGAAACGGCTCTCAACTTCACAATTCCGTTCATTTCATGAAATTTTTATAAATATTGATCGTTTGGGTACTTATATTGAAGAATAAACAAACATTTTCCTAAAGATAAAGCACGGCGCGGGGGTCTCTTTTTAGCAGCATTAAAAATAACTTACGCGCGAAGTTAAAAGTTTAAAACGCGTTCGGAATTCATGGGCGAGAATTTGTTATGTGTTCTATCTATGGTCCAAATACTAGAAAATGTACTCAATTTACAGTCCTTGAAATAGCTGTTCATACTTTCATATTTTCGCACCAATGCCTATCACGCATGCTTAATTCATGCATTCACCTAATTTGCGTATTGTTAATTTATTTTGCTTTAATACAATATCAATATACAAATTAACCAAATGCATGAATCAAAGCATCTGTAATGGGCATTGTTGCCTAGAAATGAAATTTTCAGTAGCTATTTAGGGGTTTTAAAATTGAGTACATTTTCTGATATTTGGACTATTGATAAAACACATAACAAATTTTCCCCCATGAACTAAGAATGCGTCTTCAAATTTATATTTTTGCGCGCAAGCTATTTTTAATGCTGCTAAAAAAGACACCCCCTGCTTTGAAGAATTTATCTTTTGGAAAATGTTTGTTTATTCTACAATATAGGCTAAGTACCCAAGCGATCTATATTTGTCCAAAAAATTATGAAATGAACGGTTTTGTGAAATTGAGAGCCGTTTCAAAATTGTATACTTTTTTTTATACACCGTGCATGTATTATAATATAAATTAAAAAGATAGAAATGGCGAGAAAATCCAATTGAAGAAATATTGGTTAGATAGTCGTAGTTTAAAGTTGATCTTTCCTGTCATAGATATTGACGAATGTGATGATGGAGGATGTCATGCAAATGCTAGCTGTGCCAACAGTCCTGGATCATTTTCCTGTGATTGTAATGCAGG